TGGGGAAGTGGGCAGAGGGCTGGCAAATGCAATTCAATACAGACAAGCTTGAGGTGTTGCACTTTGGAAAATCGTACCGAGGTAGGACTTACACAGTAAATGGTAATGGTAAACACCGAGGAGTGTTGTGGAACAGAGAACCTGGAGTACAAGTACTTAGTTTGTTGAAAGCAGCGTCACAGGTAGACAGGGTTGTGAAGAAGGCATTTAGCATGCTGGCCTTCATCGGTTGAGGCATTGAGTATAGGAATTGTGACGTTCTGTTACAGTTGTATAAGGTAGTGGTGAGGCCGGACTTGGAGTATTGTGTACAGTTTTGGTCAGCCTTTTATAGGAAAGACATAGTTAAATTGGAAAGTGTGCAAAGAAGATTTACAAGGATATTGCCAGGACTAGTAGGTCTGAGTTATAGAGAGAAATTGGCTAGGACAGTGCTTTAGTCCTTGGAACGTAGGAGAATGAGGGGTGACTTTATTGAAGTGTATAAAATTACGAGGGGCACAGATAGAATGAATGCATAGTCTGTTTCCAAGGGATGGGGAATTGAAAACTAGAAGGCATAGGTTTAAGGTGAGGGGGGCAAGATTTATGAAGGACCTGAGGGGCAACTTCTTCTTGCAGAGACTGGTGCATATATGGAAAGGGCTGCCCGGGAAAGTTGTTGAGGCAGGTACAATAGCAACATTTAAAAAATATTTGGATAGGTACATGGATGGGAAGGATTTAGAGGGATATGGACCAAATGCATGCAATTGGAACTAGCTGAGTGGGCACCATGGTCAGCATGGACCAGTTTGGCCAAAGAGCCTGTTTCCACACTGTATTAGTCTATGATTCTATGATTCTAGTACAAGGGGACCTTGATCAGATGGGCTGATGGGATGAGGATTGGAAGACGGAGTTTTATTTCGATAAATATGAGATGCTGCATTTTGGTAAGTCAACACAGGGCAGAACTTATACAGTTAATGGGGAGTATTTTAAAATTTATTCACAGGATGTTGGCATCACTGACTGTGTCAACATTTATTGCCCATCCCTAATTGCCCAGAGGGCAGTTAAGAGTCAACCACATTGCTGTGGGTCTGGGTTCACATGTAGGCTGGACCAGGTAAGGATGCAGCGAACTAAAGGACATTTGTGAACCAAATGGTTTTGTTCCTGACAATTGATAATAGTTTCATGGTCACCATTAGACTGTTAAGACCATATTTTTCGAAATTGAATTCAAATTCCAGCATCTACGATGAGAGGATTTGAACCCGAGTCCCTAAGAACATTACTTGAGTCTCTGGATTAACAGGTACATGGATTGGAAAGGTTTAGAGGGATTTGGGTCAAATGCAGGCAAATGAGACTAGTTTAGTTTGGGAAACCTGATCAGCATGGAGGAGTTGGGCTGAAGGGTCTGTTTCCATGCTGGATGACTCTATGAGCTCTATACGTCCTTTCTGGCAAAGCTCTGCATCATCTGCCTGAACGAGGGGCCACCGTGTTTAAAAAAAACGATAACCCAGTCACCATCCGAACTTGCTCTAATGCTTAACTATTCATCAGCATAGTCCTGCTGTTCCATTCAAAGATACGTGGCACGTATTGACCAGAAACTTCGGCCCTCACGCTGTCGTTGTGTCTGATGGTGTTTATCGGTTTGTAATTGGACCTGCACTGCTCCTTTTTTGGTGGACAGCAGTTGTTAGATCCACACGGTGTAGGTTTTAAAAACTTAACATTTACTCGAAAGCCTATATTTACATTAAGCCGAGCCCGTTTGTGGTGCAGTGATATTGTCCGTACCTCCAGAATAAGACACCCATGTTTTTACACTCATGGGATGAGGGCATCGCTGGCTCGGCCAGCATTTATCACCCCTCCTTAGCTGCCTGGGGGCAATTAAGAGTCAAACATATTGCAGTGGGTCTGGAGTCACATGTAGATCAGATCAAGTGAGGACGGCGCTTTCCTTCCCTAAAAGACATTAGTGAACCAGATGGATTTTTCCAACAATTCACCATCAGACTCGTAATTCCACATCTGCCTTGGCAGGATTCGAACCCGGATCCCCAGAACATTACCGGGGTTTCTGGAGTAACAGTCCACCAATAATCCCACCAGGCCATCGCTTCCCCGTTCAAGCTGAAGTCTGCCGCTTTGGAGGTTTGTGAAACCCAACCCCCACAATGTGGCATTTCCAAAATATTTGGAGTGAGAGAAATCTGATCCATTCCAGTTCCAACAATGGGGTTTGGAATCTGAGAAAGCCGGGCTGAGGTGTCTGGCAGAGGTTTCAGATCTTTGGGAGATGACACTCTTCTCTGCAGAGACTCCCTTTCAGCCATGCCTCGTCTATCCAGCTCTTCAGTGGTTTGCGGCTCAGTGTCTATTCCTTCTGTGGGGCCAGAAGTTGCTCGTTCAAACTCCACACCCCAGGTCTCTTTCACCCAGGAAAGTAACCGTTGAAACTAGCTGGTTTCTGTTTTCATATCTCCCGCTTGTCAGATCTGTTTGACAATTCCTGTTCAAAGTTGGTTAGAATGGGATAGATTCCTGCTCATCCATGCACAGAAGGGGACAGATGATGTATTCATCCCCTTAAACAGGCACCAACTGAAAAGCTCAATCCTCAGATATGTATGTGACAGTAAAGCAGAGGCATGTATTAAATTTCCAATGACCACCAGCAGCCAGAATATTTTGGTAAATTCAAAACCCAGCTGGACATACGGTGCAGGATAGATTGACAGATGCAACGACATGAAAGTAGCATCCCCACCCAAAAATGAGTGGAATCAAATAGCTTGTGAAACACGGTTTCCACAGCAAAGTTCACAAGTTTGTTAACGGTACACGGGAATAACGTTACACCTCTTAATCAGACAGTGTAAAGAATCAAATGACCAGCCTCTCCTCTGTTTTCTTCCCTCTTAGTTGAGCAGAATATTCTCATAAACGTTTCCATCCGCTCTGTCTTCTCCCTCTGAGGGCTCGCTGAGTTTCAGCGTGGCATAAGTGATACAATAATCGTCCGGGTCAGGCTTGGCATCCTGCAATTGGAATAATATTGGAATAGAATTGGAATAGAGCACGAGCAAGACTGAAGAGGAGGAACAGGTCAGTTGGGGACAGAGGTAGGAGTGAGAATTGGGGAAAACGAGAAACACCAGCAGAAAGTTCAGGGCCTGCAAGTTAGGAATCTGGTTGTACAGTGGTATTGTCCCTACTTCTGAGTCACGAGATCAGAGTTCAAGTTCTACCTGCTCCTGAGGTTTGCCACAGATTATAGAATTGGGAAGGTGATCTTGAAGCTGTACAGGACTTTGGTGAGGCTGCAGCTAGAGGATTGTGTGCAGTTCTGGTCTCCACACTATAGGAAGGACGTGATTGCACGAGAGAGGGTGCAGGGAAGATTTAGCAAGACGTTACCTGGGACAGAGCTTTTCAGTGAAGAAGGGAGTTTGGATAAGCTCGGGTTGTTTTCTTTGGAGCAGAGAAGGCTGAGCGGGTATTGACATTGGTCCCATTCACTCATGGATGTTGACATCATTGGCTGGGCCCGGCCTTTAGTGCCCTGTCCCTCGGTGCCCCCTTGAGAAGGTGGTGGTGAGCTGTCTTTTTGAACTACCGCAGTGCCTTGTGCATTAGGTACAATGGCCCTAGGGAAGTAATTCTGGGATTTGACCCAGTAACACTGATGAAATGGCCAATATATTTCCAAGTTGGGATGGTGAGTGCTGCGGAGGGAACCTACAGCAGGTGGTGTTCCCGTGTATCTCTGCCCGTGTCCTTCAAGGTGGAAGTGGTTGTGGGTTTGGAAGGTGCTGTCTGAGGATCGTTGGTGAATTTCTGCAGTGCATCTTATAAATGGTGCATACTGCAGCGACCAATTGGGTGCGAATGACAACAAAGTGGCAACTATTTAATATCACGATCAGTAATGTTTTAATTATGTATAGGCAGGAACTGAACACCAACACCAGTATTACCACAAGTTTGAAACTCACTTACCCCTGGGCACTGGAAGTGGAATGTGAAACAGTGAGTGACCTACTCCATTGATAAAGCAGTGTTGGGTATTTTCCACTGTGTTTAAAGGCAGACACAAAGCTGGAAGGGAGGGGGAGCTGTGAAGCAGGTTTCAGAGATTTTTCAGTGTGATTTGGGCAAGTTCAATCAGTGGGCAAATGCACGGCAGATGCAGGTTAGTGTGTATCAGTGTGAGGTTATCCAATTAAGTGCAACAACAGGAAGGTAGATTATTATCCGAATGGCGATGGATTGGGAAGAGGAGGGGATACAATGAGACCTGCGTGTCCCCCGTACACCAGTCGCTGAAAGTGAGCATTGCAGGGGCAGCGTGTGGTGAAGAAGGCAAATGGGATGCCGGCCTTCAGAGTGACAGGATTTGAATCCAGAAGCAGTGATGTCTTGCTGCAATTGTACAGGGAGATATCATGCCCTGGAGTATTGTATATGCAGTTTGGGGTCTCCTTATCGGAGGAAAGATGTTCTGGATACGGAGGGAGTGCTGCAAAGGTTCCCTGATACCTGGGATAGCAGGATTGAAGGATGAAGAGAGACTGGACCGGTTATGATTATATTC